CACGCACACGCACACGCACACGCACACGCACACGCACACGCACACACGCACACGCACACGCACACGCACACGCACACGCACACGCACACGCACACGCACACGCACACGCACACGCACACGCACACGCACACGCACACGCACACGCACACACGCACACGCACACGCACACGCACACGCACACGCACACGCACACGCACACGCACACGCACACGCACACGCACACGCACACACACACGCACACCCACACACACACACACGCACACGCACACGCACACGCACACGCACACGCACACGCACACGCACACGCACACACACACACACACAAACACACAAACACACCCACACACCCACGCTCACACACCCACACACACACACACCCACACACACACACCCACACCCACACCCACACCCACACGCACAGGCACAGGCACAGGCACAGGCACAGGCACAGGCACATGTACGCATGCATGATCGCACACGTGCAATAATATTGCCTTCACTATTCAATGACACGGGGGGTATATATGTCTACATGAGGCAACCCCTAGGATTGGTTGGTTTCCCTCTGGTTTTCCTTCTAAACAACCTCAAAAATTGTCTAACAGCCACCATATAACCCTCCTGGCATAAATCCATGGTATGGGCCCCAACTGTAAGCAATTGTTAACCTTTTGGCTTAATGGGACAGCAGCCAAAGGAGCCCAACATGAATGAGTCCTTCGGCTAGTCAGCCTGAGCCAGTTCTTTGCCCCCAAGAGGTCTCGACCGCTAGAGTGTCGCTGGTTTGTTTTTGTGTCAAATGTACAGCCCATCCAGATTCTGGTGTCAGCACGTCAAAGAGCGTTGACACATCGCTCTTGGTGCGGCAGACGCTTACAGTCAAGAGGGTTCAGGCCGCAATTCACAAGACATAGTTTTAGCACTTCAAGACTGTTCAGCGAATTGCTACAGTACATGCGGAATGTGCACGTCGATATGCACACTCCCTTGTCATACTTGCCGATTGTTCCCATCTCGTGCATGTTGGTCCGACGCAAGATCTTCCACTGTATGTCAACGAGAACGGCAGAATATCCGATGAGACGCCGCACACGCTGACCCTAGCATTTCACACCCTTCCCTACCCTTACAGTAACACACTCACACAGAAAACTGTTCACTTTGGGACTATAGGCCCTTCTGACGTTGCAGTGACCCCCCCCAAACAGACCAACATGCACACTTCCAGTGACTGGGAGTCGTCCGAGGTCAGTCCCCCGGTGGAGACCTTGGAAGCGCTGGCCTGAGTTGTAGTTCTTGGTTCCAGATTCGCCAGGGTTCCATTTTGGGTATCTTTTTTTTGGACAGCCACACAGCTTCGGCTACGAAAGTACAAAAAGCTTGGAGGTGACCAGAGTTTGATGAACTGCAAGATAGGACAAATCAGTTGCTGAACCCTCAACTGCAGGAACCACAACTGCAAACCAAGTCTAAATAGGCCAGAAGATGATAGGAGTTGTTCTAGAAGGGCATTGTGTGCTTCCAGAGGCTATGATGCCTGTTGCTCTTGATTGACTCATATGTGAGAGCATGGCTCATGGCTCCCTGACGTACCGCTTGAAACAGTCCATCAGTACATAAGATTACTCAAGGCTCCTTGGGTTAAAACATGGTCTTGAACCTGCAACACTCAGCTGGCAGCACCCCTATTGGCAGTGCACCCGGCATTGTTGCAGAAATGCACCATTCTGCATCATCCCGTTCCCTTCCTGCAGGAACGACCGTCTCAAAGGCGAATAGGTGTGTTTTACGCTTACTGTGTAGTGGGACACGGTTCCCCATATTTCCCCTTAACGGGTCTTAGACTCAGCACCAATTCGGGCCCAATGTCATGCGAGTTCCCTTGAATCGGAGACGCTTCCCCATTAAAAGGTCTTGGAGTTGGTTCCAACCATGCTTGTCACCTATCGTTCTTGACGTCAAAGAGATTTAGGGGAAGGAATTCCTGATTTTGTTAGCAAAGGAGTCCTACGTCGCCCGAAACTGACGCCCTGAATCTCTTAGCAAGGGAGTCCTTCATCCCCCCCAACCCAGCCCCTGAATGTCTTAGCAAAGGAGTCCTTCATCGCCCGGAAAGGCCGCTAAGACGTTTTTGTAGTGTCGAAGATCTGCAAAGGAATCTCAGCAATCGCCTGTTGCGATGAGGCGGGAGCTTCAGACCGCGACGGCGATCAGGAAGCTAGACGTGGCCTGGCGCGGTTCAAACGGCCCCTGGAAATTTACATAGAATCCGCTGAGGCTCCTCCCAAAAAGCGAAATTCACCGGACAAAAGCTACTTTTCTTCACGTTTGTTTTTTTGGGCGGGGGAGTCATGTCAATCTGCAGAAGCAAGTTAAGTTATTTTGCTTTGGTGCTTGCTCTCCTTTGTTTGGTGAACGCGGTTGTTGTCTGTGATGTTTTTTCTCTATTTCACGTTGCCTTGGGAAGGGCATTGACCGCCAGCACTAGGTCACTAGCAATGGCCACAATCCGGGATTGTCATTTGTTTCCAGGAGCCAATTCTGGAACTCCAAAATACAACACATTGTTGTTGGATGAGCTCTTTGTCACTGAGCCGCCTGACCATGTTGCAGGCCCACAATCAGAAGAAGCCTGCGTTGAGTATAGGAAACTTGCTGTGAGAGTTCATTTCTATGGTCTCGTGCAATGGAACCTTGGCGGAGCCTGGGCAAAGGATGGAAAAGGCAGGCCTTGGCACAGAGCTGGTGCTGCGCGTCGTTTTTGCTTGCTGAGTTCACATGTGTTAGGCGTTGTTCCACAACACACGCACGTGAATTGCCTTCCCTTGGAGTATACTGAGTGTACTCTTTCAAAGCTGAGATGAACATTTTTCAAGTCCAGGTATTGGAGAAATGCCATTGTCGCGACATTGCTTCATCCAAGAAGCAAATGCTTCCTTTGACCTTTTTAGCTTCATGGAGCGTTGGCATTGGCATTGGCACAAGTGACCCTTTCATCTTACCCTGTCTTCGGCGTCAATCTGACACAGCACGGTAGTCGTGGTTGTTTTTGCTGCAAAGCACACATATTTGCTGGTTGAACGGCTGGCTTCGTTGATCGAACCGGACACCACCAATGCGGGTCCTTGACTTTGGGACACAGCTTGCGCCTTGTGTGTCCATTTGCAAGAGACCAAACCTGTGCCACTTCTTGAACGTGGCACCTAGAGCTGTTCTGGGGAGAAGGAAAGGGTAGGGATGCCTTTTGAGTTTTTGCTTTGAAGGGAGACCAAACGGAACCGTCTATGATCAGTCTTTCCTAGGTTGGACACATTGGAAACATGTGCATGTTGAGTATTCGATCTTGAATTGCAAGTTCAACTTGTTAGATCAGGACATCTCACGCTCGCGCTTCGCCAAGGACCGAGCATGGTCCGCTCTGAGCACGCGTAGACACCCAGCGCCGGCCGCTCTTTGCGTTGGGAGGTTTGAGCGCTCCTGGGAGCCAACAACCATCTTCCACGGGTTTTCGGTGCTTCCATGCGACGTAGCCTGCCGTGAAAACATTGCCGCCAAGTGTTTCTCCACGAGTCTAGTGCTGCATCTTTTTGGTTTTGCAGCCTGACTCTACAGTAAGGGCAACCGACTTTTGACACAGCCATTTGTGAGCACTGAGCGGAGGCGCCATACTCGGCAGAAGCTCCGGTACGTGGCGGCCGCTTCAGAAAGCGGCGTTTCACTTTTGGAAAATGAAGCGACTGGGTGCCTTAGGAGACGACAAGTATACTCTGAATGATTGTGTAAGTAAGTAAGGCGCCAACATTGCCAACACAAACTGAAGAGATTTGGTGCGACCTGCGTTTGCATGCTGATTGCGTAATCAGCTCCGTATTCCCGGCCGCGCGGCAGACGGGAAGAGCCTCGGAAGAAAAGCGCAATGCACAGCGGCGATCAGCAGAGTTTGTTGCAGCCGTCCGCCCGGCTGGCGACAGAAAACTATTTGGCCATGGTTCAAAACCAATGGTATCCCATTTTGGGACAGGTGAATTCACCACCCATTTTAGAACCTATTTTAGTGGTTGGATTGGGATGTTCAAAAGGGGTACGGGGTTTTGACCCATGGCCATTTGTCCATTGGAGGACCAACTACAAAAGTCCGCAGAGGTCTAGCCCCACTGAGCCTTAGCCACGTTTTCTATGAGTCGCACTTCTGGTCTGAAGTGGGCGCTGCTTATTTCTGTGTGTGTGTTGCTAGCGCAGCTACCAAACTTTTTCCACAGCCCGCGTTAAGCGGCAAGTTGCCGGGTGTTTCCACTGAGTTGCAAAGCTTTGTGAATGCCCCTCGTGGAATCACCTATACAAGCTGTTGCTGAGGTGCTTGAAGCACTCCATTCATTGGCTTATGATGAGCCGGTTGCAGTGTGTTTAAACCATTGGATGACCCAAGGGTCTGAGTCCCCTTGTGCCTAGCTCGACCAGGTGTTCAGATTGTTTTACCACTGCCATCTACTAAGAACCCGGGCCGCCTTTCCTAGGAATCCAGGCTGTTTGCCTCGACTCAACGGGCTGCCATGGCCAAATGAAACGATGTGGACTGCCGCACTGCATGCTAACCAGCGCGGACACTTTCCCTACGCCGCCTTCATGGATGAGTTGTGCTGCGATAGTTTTGATCGTTGCACGCATTGCAGCACAAGCCGAGAAAGACTACTCATCTCCAGCTTGCCGACCTGTGAATGATCTGGTTGCGCATGTGCGTCGCCACCTATGCGTCACAAAGGAAGGACACGTGTATTGCCAAAGTTCCAAAGTTGATAAACTGAATTCTGCACTGAAGCATCATTTGGTCTCAGCCTGGCCATTCGCTGCCTGCAAGATGCCAGTGCGGATACTGTTTGCTCAACTGCTGCGAGGAGGGAGTTCAATCTGGCACAGATCAAGCAAGCACGCTAGCACATCTCAATGTCTTGACCCGCAGTGGTTTCAAGCACACACACACACACACACAGCACCATGTTTGACCAACAATCAAGTACACGGCTTAGGGTTTGGCTGCACCTGACGTAGCCAATTCCTGGAGGCATCGCGCGCTGCACGTGAAATTGGGGTGTTTTCTTCTTGGTGGCTCCCAGCCATCCCCTTAGCTTTTTAGCCTTTTAGTGTTTAGGCGGAATGTCCATTTCACCAACTAAAAGTCAAACTTAGCAGAAAACCTGAGGACAGCCCAGTTTTGGTTTGCACTTTGTGAGATATCCCAAGCTTGGATCTTTCAAATGGTTTCTTGCCTTGCTGGTTTCTATCCAAAAGGGGCTATTTTCAAGACACCCCCCTCCATTTGTCCGTGTCATTCTCGATTGAGCTGTAATCCATTTGGGTCCACAGCCAATGGATGGACGAAATCCATTTCGCACCATTGTCTGAATCCCTGGAATCATGATCCGGATGTAAACACCAACAAACAAAGGTTTCCTATGGTTTCATAGTGGTGCAGGATTTCGTCCATCCACATCCATCCACAGTATGGTTTGAGGAGCCTACTTGCCCAACAAACCTTATGGTTTCAACCATGGTTTCATCTCGTGGTGCGATGTCTGGATTTCGTGTTTCCACAGCACGGGCTGAGCTTGGCTTGGGTATATCTCACCTAAAAGAACTTGTTCGAGGTTTGAAGCCTTAGGCCCGGGGCTTCCCTTCGATGTCCAAAAAGGCAGCCCCAAAAAGGGTGCCTCAAAAAGACAGAGATGCCATCGCGAAATAGAGGCAATTAGTTCTGTTTTTTTTTGTGTTGTTTTTTGTTATATATATACAGATTTATTCGGCTCTTTTTTGAGGGCTGCCCATTCTCGGTCCGCGGGGGTTCGCATACTTGGTTTTGACATCCAGTTTACCCAGAGAAGGTCCTCTGGATTTCCCTGATTTTTCCGTGCCTGCAAAACAAGTCAAGTTTGTGCGGCCAGGATTTTGGCGACTCGCTATATTTCCTTCAGGATGTCTGGGAACGTTTCGAGTACACGGCCTACATCGGTTGGCGCTGTAGGGTTGCCAGAGACCAGGCACTAGGTAGTACTGATTCATAGCCACAGAAGCCGTGCAAGACTTCTAGCCTAGCTGCACTGGCAGTGATCCTCAAGTTCACGCTGCAAACGTCATGTTCATCACGGTGATTGCGCAGCATCCAACCTTGCAGCATTTAAGTGGAACATCAGATGCGATACAAGTTTCCCGCTCATCTCAGGTCAGTTGTATGACGGTTGGTGATGTGTTGCCAATGTCCCGCGAAACTAAAGCCTTGCAACTGGGTCTATGTCCTGTTGCCCTTGGGTTTCTTTCAAACCCCATTCAACAATGGGATCCCCATTTACAAGACCCCCCAAAAAAAAGCCGCAACCCATTGCAGGCCATGGACAAAAGGCCTGTCGCCGGACTTGCCCTCAGCAACCAGAGCTCAGGCTCACGACACTCAAAAGTTGATTGTGAGTGTCCACCGTCTAGTGGGCCACGTGCTCAAAACCCGGGGATAGATGAAGGTAAGGGGCAGTCCCAGCCGGAAATCGTTGCGGAATTCCGCCTTTCTAATTCTTGAAGCATGGTTCTGGGTTCGCCATTTTTCTACCGATCGGTTTTGATTGTGACTCTTGGGATCCTCCTGAGGCTTTTGTTAATGCCAGGTGCGGATTCATGTTGGGCCATTGGCATGCCCATTGTTCTTGACCAGGCCATTTTTTTGGCTGGTTCCGGCCGTCTGTCAAGAATTGCCTCTGGTGGAAGATGGTCAGACGATTCCAGAAAGGAGCAGCTTGCAGCAACCCTCAGATGTCCTAGCTGGTTGAGCAGATCCTGAGACTGCAATGGGCCTTTTACAAAACCAGAAGGTTGCAAAGCGCCAATTCTTGGTCCTCCATGAAGACCTCTTGCTTACGGCTTGGTTCACAGGGCCGACTGGACCGATCGGAATGCCGACAGAAGTCAGCGCGCGCGGAGCGCGCGCGCTCAGGTCGTACCTTAGCCAGCCCGGTGGCGGCGGATTGGAAGCCAGATCTGAAGCGCCTTTGGCAGAGCTTAACAGCGATCTCGCGCTGGCGGCTGAAGAGATCCATGCCGTCAGGCTTCCCTAACACTTAAGCTTGAAACCCAAAAGGGGCACAAACAAAGATCCCTCTGAACCAGGTTTTGGTGGGTTCCAGACTACGGTTTGTTGGCAGAGTGCCGCCAGTAGCCCTCGTTGATGCAGTTTGTAATGCCCTGTTGTAGCCAAGCAGAGGTGGCTTTTCAGAGCATTGGGAGCGTTTGTAAACTACCTTTCACCTCCAATTCGACTAGAAGGGCCCAAGAAGGTTCAAACCAACTCGCGTAGAAAATAGTGTTGGCTCGAAGGAAGTTGAGGCTCAGTTTCCCGATGAGGCTTCGAACCTAATTAAGGATCGCCATTGTCATCGAACGAACTGCTTGAGGATAGGAGAGGCTGTTCTCTTTGACTGCCAAAAGCCCTCGCAGGGGTAACTGTGTTCTGTTGCAAAGGCTTTACAATGCAGTTGCGCAATCTGCTCCAGCTTTGCTCAACGGGAAAGGTATAAAGGACTGGTTTTGGCTCAAGATGTTGGAACACTTTCACAGGGGTTTTACTGTCTAGAGCCCTGACACAATGTGCTTGGAGGGTGTTCCGCAAACGGTTTGCTTCGATATACACCAAGCAACACACCCTGCCGACCTTCATGTGTTGCTTTTCTTCCAGACCAATCCTCCCTGTGGCGATGGCTCCAAAACATGTACCAAGCTGGCAGCTTGGCAAATGGAACCAAAGACTACCTGCGGAACCCTGGCTCTTTGATTTTGAGCCAATCCTTCCTGTGCCAGGGGCAATCTCCATGAGATCACAGAGTACCTTGAAGAACAGGGCGCCTATGATCTCTTCGACTTGCTGCTCAAGGCGCAGAGCTCAAGGTTCCATCCAACATTGCGCGTCGGATGGACGCGGCATGTTTGGGTTCAGACTGCAAACCACATGGATGTAGCAGGAAGCTGCCTCCTAGTATCATTTGGGCAAACTTGAAGCCAACGCAAGCAAGTGGATTGATTTGCAATAGGTGCTGCTTTGCAAACTACGTTTTTTTGTTCAGTGTGTTGAACTGGGGTCTCCTCCAACACGAGTTTGATGTTTACGGCAACTTAAAATATCAGTTGGGAGCGGCACCCATATTTTCGGTGTACCCAGACTCTGTCACGGACGTGAGCCAAGTTTAGCGAGAGCCGCAGGACCTCATGATCAAGCAGCCGGCTGACCCGCTGCAGCACATGCTGGGGAGGCCCAGATAGGCACGAGCTTTTTTTTGAGGCACCGGGGCTGCCCTTCTCAAGTGGTTGTTAGGGAGGCCAAAGGGAAAACCAATACTTTGTAGGATTCCCCCTGATGGAGTCAATTATCACGATGACATTTATGGCCCAGAGGTACATGAGGTAGGTTCTCATGTAGTCAGTTGCATGTTGTACATTCAAGTCATTGCCAGAGCATGATCCAATCACTGCTTTGGCTCAAGTGCTGAAAACAGCGCGTTGCTCGCGCTAGCCCCAAGGTTAAGGGAGAGGTCGCAGTCACGGAGGGGTTCGTTCCTTTTAAGGTCCCGGGTTCCCCCGTTGTTGACAAAACTGTGTTTCCCTCTCCTTTGAGTGGTTATCAGCCGTAACGCTTTTCGGGTAAACAAACCCTTCCGTGACTGCGACCTGTTGGTCGCACATGGAAGTCGGCCCTCACCGCGGCACACGCGGTGGGAAAGGGCCGCGTGCCCGATTGTACAACACTCTGCAACAGATCGTCGTCGACGAGTACAAGCGGCAGAACAGACGATTCCGGTGGATCAGGTTTGCGGACGCCTCGAAGCAACAGGTCGAGGCGCTCTTTTCCTGGCGTGAGTCACTGGATAGTTGGCACCTGTGGAATTTTGACCAAGAAGCCTTCGACGTGATCCAGGCCGCGGACAACGCTTATCAGCAGCGTCTCGCATTGGTTGAAACCACAGGAGTGGTCTTGCCGCAAGGTGTGCCATCTCAGGATCAAGCCGCAGCCTCAGGCGCGGCGGGAGCATCGAGCAGTGCAGCGGACTGGCTTCGTCCTCCGACGCCACCATCAGCTTCCTCCTGGTTGCAAGACTCGCGCACTCCTTTGCCTCGTATTCGACCATCTGCAGAAGAAAGACAAGCCGCAAGGTCAACTCTTCGCGGGGTATACGCTAAAGCTGCGGAAACGCGGCGGGAGAGCAGCAGGGAACGGTCAACACAAAGATCGAGGTCCCCATCGCCCCGAAGGTCGAGGTCACCATCATCGACTCCGAGACGAGGACCAACTGCTGCTACCCCTGTGGGTCAACGGGCACACAGTGTTGAACCCGCGCTTGCGCGGGAGGGAAGGCCATCCAGGACTTCCCTAGCCACACGGCCCATCGTTTTGGCTCCACAGAATAGCATCTACCCTGTGACTAGGTTTGACGAACACGGCACCTGGATATTGGTTCGGGAGGCTTCACAGCCACGTGAGGCGGCACCTCATCGGCGAGCACAACGGACGTCTGGGCAGCTTCGCCAAGCCGATCCGTACCTGCTCGCGGACGAGACGTGGAGGGACCCCCCAAGAAGGTCCTCCACGAGCTCGCGCTCACGGTCTCCTGACCGTCGCCCGGCGCCGGCGGAGCACTTCCGCCTCGACGCCTACAGCTCGGACGAGGAACCACCGCAAGACGCGGAGTCCATCAGGACGGGCAGGGCGGCATACGTGCCTCGGCGCGTTTACGAGGCGCCGACTCACTCCGAGCCCATCTCGCTGCACAGCCGAAGAATTGGGGCAGTTCAACCGCCGCCTCCAAAGGCCGCACCCAAGGTCATCTTTGGCAGCAAGCCTCCATTGCCCAAGGAGATCCCCAAGGCAGTTTCTTCAGTGCCGACAAAGGCAGACATTCCGAGGAAGTCACCGCCAAGGGCCAGATCTCCTGTTCGGACTCAGAGTGCATTCGGGTACAAGGCGCCTCCGCGAGGTTTGAACAAGGCCGAACCCAGAAGCAAATCGAGCTCAAACCCGCCACAATTCGGGTACATCGTCAAGCCGCCACCTCCGCAGGTCGTTCAAGCAGCTGCTGCTAGCGCTGCAACTTCCGAAGCTGGCTCGCGATTTCGCTCGCCACCAAGGAGGGCACCGCCTGCGCCCCCGCCGCCACCACCTCCGCCTGGAAGGCCGGTGCCGCCCAAGGAGCTTGTTGTTGCTCTTGACTGGCACGGAGTTCTTGACGTTGGGCAGCAGGGACCCCACCTCAACCCGGAAGTGATCCGACATCTCGTTCAGTTTGCAGCGGACTACGCACCTATAAATTTTATAGTGCTATCCTTCGTGGGCAGGGCTGCAAGCGAGTATCGCCGCCGCGAGTTCCAGGTCGCCCTGGAGCACGCGCGGACGACATCTGGACTCACTTTTTCTGCGATAAAAATCGTTCACGAACGGTTGGGTAGGGGAGGCAAAGCAGACGCCCTTCAAGGGCTGGGCGTTCACGCCCTTATTGACGATACAGCATCGATTGTCCGTGAAGCTCAAAAGACAGGCATCGCGGCGTTCCGCAACTTCCCGCACTTCGGGCCGGGAGGATTTGCCAACGCACTTGAGAACCTCGGTGAGTTCATTGAATCCCGGAACAGACAATTCATTCCGGCGGCAAGGGGCCTGCATCCATCGCAGTACCTCGAGGAGCTCCACCGATCTGCATCCCAGTTGCCCGCCAGCCGGGTACTTCGATAGCCATTGTTGCAAGCCGTTAAAACCGTCGCTTTGCGCGGTACAGCATTTTGCAGTTACAGGCATTCGATTTGCAGACAAATTCTCAATACAGCTTGGCAACATCCCTCGATAAAGCACCATAGCGCGGCAGTGCGGATCAATCAATGTACAAGTACAATTACAAATACAGAATTCATCAGGTGCAAAGCAGCAGGGCGTATTTTCTTGAGTGGCTCACTTGAGCGTTTCGCAACGTATTTTCTTGAGTGGCTCACTTGAGCGTTTCGCAACCAGCTGCCAATCCAGGGATATCTCCTCGTAGCACCTTTTGACACGCTGCTCAAAGCGCGTGGAGCTAGCTTCGTGTGAGTGCAAAAGTTGCATTGCTGTGTCATGGCTTCAACGGGCTTATCACCGCCATCAGAACCCCGTTCAAGGTCAACCCCAAATAGGGATTCTGAACCGGATGACCCTGACCTAGCCATGGTTCCTGCAGTTATGTCCACAGTTCGCACATCCACACCTCAACGAGCAGCCCAAACACGACCATCATCACCCCCGAGTGGTCCGATCGTGTCAGAACCGACATCATCCGAAGCTTCCCCAGCCATTCAGTTTCCTTCACAGGGATCGCAATTACCTGACCCGATGACTAACGTACCCGCTGCGGCATTTATAGCTGGAGCTGCGGTGCAGCAAGCTCATCGAGCATCCGACCTCGCTGCTCAGGCAGCCAATCACGCCTTGCACCAACAGCAGGCCGCCGATCAGGCGAGACAAGAGGCCGGATGGATCAGGGAAAGGGCTGTAAGAGAAGTTTCAGACGTTAGGGTTCAGGCCGCTCAGCTAGCTTCGCAAGCACAGCAGGCTGTACAAACAGCACAACAAAGTGAGGCTCAGGCTAGGCAACTCATTGAGCAGACACGACAGGAAGCCTTAGGCCATGTCGAGAACGCACGACAGGTTGTTAATGCCACTCAACAGGACGCTCAGCAAGAGGTTCAACGCATTGTTCAAGAGGCTCAACAGGCAATCCTACAAAGGGAGCAAACCATTGCCAGTCAAGAGCATACCATTCGTGGATTGTCCCAGGAAAATTCTGTGATGCATCAACGACTTGGTGATCTCGAACGTGTTGTTGCGCAGCTCACCCAACAAGCTCGTGCGACCCCTGTTCCGATGCAAGAGTCCCCGCCGAAAGCCGCATCAATAGCCGAAACAGCTACGGAAACAAGCGCGGCTAAAGCCTCAAGTCAAGGCACAGTTCCCCCAGGAACCCATCAGCCGGTTGGAGCACCTCAGGTTTCAGGTTCACAAGATGCCTCCGGTGTTGCCGCATCGTCGCAAGGGAATGCTTTTACAAGTACTATCCCCGACCCTCCGTGTGGTTCTGTTCAAAGTTCAGGACTTGGTCACGATGCCCCAGCTGATTCAAGGGACCCTGGTGGGGGTGCAACAAGTCAACATCTCGTAGGCCATTCGGCAGTGCTAGGAGCAGCGTCCTCTGTTGGAGACGCAGCCCCCGGCGCGTCGAGGACTAGCGGGTTGGGTAGAGACGGTCCAAGGGATCAAGCCGATGTGAGAGTGCAAGTGACGGCTTTAGCGGAAATGGTTCAGCAGCTTTCCCAATTGGTTGCTAATCAAGTGGCTCCGCCACCTCCGCCTCCGGCCGCACCACCTCCAGTGCCTCCCATGCCCCTTTCTGGGGCGCCGCCTCCGCCGAAAGCTGGCAATGGCACTTATGTTCCGCCAGTACCAATCACAATGTTGGGAGGGTTGTACTCGTCATCCCCACAAGCGCCATCGGCAGCAAGCTCCGACACATCATCAGACTCTGATGGAGATGATGATACCCCTCAATGTCGAGTTTGCGGCGGCAGCCATGAAGACACGGATTGCCCATACCTCACCATGAACGGTGGTGGGGGAGGTGGGGGAGGCCCTGGCCAGTTCCCCAATGCAGCCGATCCTAGTGTAGGCATGACCGCCATCGATCACGCCACGCATGAGGAATCCGTTGTTCGCGTCAAGGACCTCAAGGATCTCGTGTTGCCATCCCCTCCGGAGAACGCTGGACAGGCTAGAGGTTTCGTCAACCAAGTTTTGATGGCCATCGGTCGACTCCAGAAGACCCCCGGAGATGAAGTTTACCAGTGGGCCCAAGCATGCATGTCCTCCACCGAGCAAGAACTCATCGCGGACAAGCGTTTCCCACGGTTAGATCGTGAAATAGCCGCAAAGCTCCTTAAAACCTGCCGTAAAGGTAAGTTCGGGCTCTTGTTTCAGAATATGGTTGAACAAGAGAGAATCTCGTCAGGTGGGATGCCCGTAGGGAGAATCATGTTGCGTGCTATCTTCAAGCACTTTCAGTTAGAACGAGGTAGGCTCGGATCCTTAGGAGGTCGCAACTTGTTAAAGTTGTCTCTTGCAGGCCCGTCCCTTGCTGACCTGGATGCCTTTCGGGAGAAGTACGTTTATGTGCTGACCGCAATTCCCGTGGCAGAACAACCCAGGGAAACAACCTTGTTTGATCACCTGTTG